GGTTGGCTGTGCCCCAGGGCAGGTCGGCTGTGCCCCAGGGCAGGTCGGCGAGTTTTTATCATTGTCAGCAATTAGTGTTTTGAAGAGACACATAACAATCGTCCAGCCACAGTTGTTGTAGCAAAGATGGATGGTGGCTGAAGCAGCGAGAGGCCCGGGGCAGGCCACAGACACGCTGTGGTCAGCTGTGGTCAGCTGTGGTCAGCTGTGGCTCGTCACGCTGATACCAATCTTGTTGTGGTGAGGTAAACACAAGATGCCAGTATTACATTACTGAGTGGGCACGAGATGGGCCGGCCCTTCCACACCAGTTTTCGTACCCTGCACGGCCCTCGTACCCTGCACGGCCCTCGTACCCTGCACGGCCCTCGTACCCTGCACGGCCCTCGTACCCTGCACGGCCCTCGTACCCTGCACGGCCCTCGTACCCTGCACGGCCCTCGTACCCTGCACGGCCCTCGTACCCTGCACGGCCCTCGTACCCTGCACGGCCCTCGTACCCTGCACGGCCCTCGTACCCTGCACGGCCCTCGTACCCTGCACGGCCCTCGTACCCTGCACGGCCCTCGTACCCTGCACGGCCCTCGTACCCTGCACGGCCCTCGTACCCGTCTGCCTGGAGACCTTTCGTTTGTATTATAACACCAAGGGAGCCGGTCGGTCGAGAAGACAGCACGCTGGACTTGTGATCCTGTGGTCCTGGGTTCGATCCCAGGCGCCGGCGAGAAACAATGGGCAGAGTTTCTTTCACCCTATGCCCCCGTTACCTAGCAGTAAATAGGTACCTGGGTGTTAGTCAGCTGTCACGGGCTGCTTCCTGGGGGTGGAGGCCTGGTCGAGGACCGGGCCGCGGCGACACTAAAAAGCCCCGAAATCATCTCAAGATAACCTCAAGAAGGTAGATGATCATTTCTACAGGTACCCTTCACTACCGGAGGGGATCACACGGCGTCAGCAACTTGACGAGTGATCTATGACGTGTACCAACACGGGCGCGGTGCCCGTGTTGGTCATCGTGTCGCTAGTGAGTGTTACAGTTCAGCAGACCGTCGGGAGAGCAGAGTCTGCTGCTCTCAACAGCTCGCGAGGGCTGTTGAGAGCAGAGTTACAGCCGCGTTACCTGCCGCCTGGACACCGGAGCGGAGCTGATAACGGCCGTGGGATGCTTGTGTTACTGGCAAGGAACACGAGCCCCCGCGGCCGGTTGTGTGACTCACCTGAAGACTGCCCAAGCGGCTCCCACACTCCTCCAACTGCCCCTCCTCTACCCATCACCTTGTGTATGGCGTCCCAACACACCTGCCAACACCGGCCCCAGCCTGAGCTTGGCGGGTCGAAGACCTCTCAGCAACCACCCGGGGTCATGTTTAGAGGCCTAGTCCAGCCTAAATGATCGGTTTTTATACCGAAAACTCTGCATATTACAACCCAAAGAAAAGCAAGTTTCCCGGCGCAAGGGAAGTGAATCATTACGTCGCTAGAGCTCCCACAAGGCGAGGGGCATTAAGGCGTACCTTGCATAACTGGACTAACTTGACTAAGAATATCAAAGAAGCCTCCAGCAGTGGGAATCAACTTTATTAATATCTACCGCCAAGAATATGAAGCGTAGCAGCTATTACAGTGGCTCCCTCAACACCACAGGGGAGTGCAGAGCCACGGTGTAGCCATCTATAGTATGTATGGCCACCGCTGGTCACACCTCCTGCTGCTCACACCTCCTGCTGGTCACACCTGCTGGTCACACCTCCTGCTGCTCACACCTGCTGGTCACACCTCCTGCTGGTCACACCTCCTGCTGGTCACACCTCCTGCTGGTTACACCTCCTGCTGGTCACACCTCCTGCTGGTCACACCTCCTGCTGGTTACACCTCCTGCTGCTCACACCTCCTGCTGGTCACACCTCCTGCTGGTTACACCTCCTGCTGCTCACACCTCCTGCTGGTCACACCTCCTGCTGGTCACACCTCCTGCTGGTTACACCTCCTGCTGGTCACACCTCCTGCTGGTCACACCTCCTGCTGGTTACACCTCCTGCTGCTCACACCTCCTGCTGGTCACACCTCCTGCTGGTCACACCTCCTGCTGGTTACACCTCCTGCTGGTCACACCTCCTGCTGGTCACTACCTCCTGCTGGTCACACCTGCTGGTCACACCTCCTGCTGGTCACACCTCCTGCTGGTCACACCTCCTGCTGGTCACTACCTCCTGCTGGTCACACCTGCTGGTCACACCTCCTGCTGGTCACACCTCCTGCTGGTCACACCTCCTGCTGGTTACACCTCCTGCTGGTTACACCTCCTGCTGCTCACACCTCCTGCTGGTCACACCTCCTGCTGGTCACACCTCCTGCTGGTTACACCTCCTGCTGGTCACACCTCCTGCTGGTCACACCTCCTGCTGGTTACACCTCCTGCTGCTCACACCTCCTGCTGGTCACACCTCCTGCTGGTTACACCTCCTGCTGGTCACACCTCCTGCTGGTTACACCTCCTGCTGGTCACACCTCCTGCTGGTCACACCTCCTGCTGGTTACACCTCCTGCTGCTCACACCTCCTGCTGGTCACACCTCCTGCTGGTCACACCTCCTGCTGGTCACACCTCCTGGTCACACCTCCTGGTCACACCTCCTGGTCACACCTCCTGCTGGTCACACCTCCTGGTCACACCTCCTGGTCACACCTGCTGCTGGTCACACCTCCTGCTGGTCACACCTCCTGCTGCTCACACCTCCTGCTGGTCACACCTCCTGCTGGTCACACCTGCTGGTCACACCTCCTGCTGGTCACACCTCCTGCTGGTCACACCTCGTGGTCACACCTCCTGCTGGTCACACCTGCCGGTCACACCTGCTGGTCATTCTGCTGGTCACACCTCCTGCTGGTCACACCTGCTGGTCACACCTGCTGGTCACACCTCCATCACGCCCACGAGGCTGCCAGTCGTTAATCACCAGGTCCTCCGCTACACTGCTGCTACTGTCTGATGCCACGAGATCATTAATGCCGACAGCTGCACGCATCACGCCTGAACATGTGCCTCTGTGCTTAGCTGTATACATCTGGATTCTAAGTACATGTATTCAATATGAGCGTCGGCTCGTGTGACCGTCGGCTCTTGTCTCATTACTTATGATCCGCCAGTATTGATGACAGTTCTTGAAGCCTCACCCGACACACTCCTCCTCGAGCGTGTACTGATCATTGTACCTGTTGTCCCCTTCAGGTCGCATCTGGCACAGATGTGGGAGGCTTCTTGCCCACTCCTCCGATGACCTCCGCGGCATATTGAGTTATATGTAGCAGAAAACACATATTACTAGATGGTGTAATGCTTCAGGTAAACTGTAAGGGTCCACGTGTGGCACAGACAACGTGAACTTTGAGAAGATTGTACAACTGTCACCCAGCCTGAAGGCAGGATTTACAGTAACTAAATATACCATCTTGGATGCCAGTTATACCACAGTCTTTACTGTCATGAGGAACATTATACTGACTGTTTAAAGTTATTGAGCTTTGTTGACTATGAACAACACAGTACTAACCAACATAGTCAGGTGTGCCCAGGACCACCAACAACACAGTACTAACCAACATAGTCAGGTGTGCCCAGGACCACCAACAACACAGTACTAACCAACATAGTCAGGTGTGCCCAGGACCACCAACAACACAGTACTAACCAACATAGTCAGGTGTGCCCAGGACCACCAACAACACAGTACTAACCAACATAGTCAGGTGTGCCCAGGACCACCACCAACACAGTACTAACCAACATAGTCAGGTGTGCCCAGGACCACCAACAACACAGTACTAACCAACATAGTCAGGTGTGCCCAGGACCACCACCACCAACACAATACTAACCAACATAGTCAGGTGTGTCCAGGACCACCAACAACACAGTACTAACCAACATAGTCAGGTGTGCCCAGGACCACCACCACCACCAACACAGTACTAACCAACATAGTCAGGTGTGCCCAGGACCACCACCACCAACACAGTACTAACCAACATAGTCAGGTGTGCCCAGGACCACCACCAACACAGTACTAACCAACATAGTCAGGTGTGCCCAGGACCACCACCAACACAGTACTAACCAACATAGTCAGGTGTGCCCAGGACCACCACCACCAACACAGTACTAACCAACATAGTCAGGTGTGCCCAGGACCACCACCACCAACACAGTACTAACCAACATAGTCAGGTGTGCCCAGGACCACCACCAACAACACAGTACTAACCAACATAGTCAGGTGTGCCCAGGACCACCACCACCAACACAGTACTAACCAACATAGTCAGGTGTGCCCAGGACCACCAACAACACAGTACTAACCAACATAGTCAGGTGTGTCCAGGACCACCACCAACACAGTACTAACCAACATAGTCAGGTGTGCCCAGGACCACCACCAACACAGTACTAACCAACATAGTCAGGTGTGCCCAGGACCACCAACAACACAGTACTAACCAACATAGTCAGGTGTGCCCAGGACCACCAACAACACAGTACTAACCAACATAGTCAGGTGTGCCCAGGACCACCACCAACACAGTACTAACCAACATAGTCAGGTGTGCCCAGGACCACCAACAACACAGTACTAACCAACATAGTCAGGTGTGCCCAGGACCACCAACAACACAGTACTAACCAACATAGTCAGGTGTGCCCAGGACCACCACCAACACAGTACTAACCAACATAGTCAGGTGTGCCCAGGACCACCAACAACACAGTACTAACCAACATAGTCAGGTGTGCCCAGGACCACCACCAACACAGTACTAACCAACATAGTCAGGTGTGCCCAGGACCACCACCAACACAGTACTAACCAACATAGTCAGGTGTGCCCAGGACCACCAACAACACAGTACTAACCAACATAGTCAGGTGTGCCCAGGACCACCACCAACACAGTACTAACCAACATAGTCAGGTGTGCCCAGGACCACCAACAACACAGTACTAACCAACATAGTCAGGTGTGCCCAGGATCTCCCTCACTTCTCGTCCCGGCGTCAACACTCGCGAGATCTCGAAGTCACAGAGCTTGACGGCGCAGTCAGGGAACTCCCCCATCAGCACCAGGTTTTGTGGCTGTTGGAGAAGATGAGGGAGTGTTGGTGAGATAGTGTTGGTGATAATGTTATTGTTGGAGAAGATGAGGGAGTGTTGGTGAGATAGTGTTGGTGATAGTGCTATTGTTGGAGAAGATGAGGGAGTGTTGGTGAGATAGTGTTGGTGATAGTGCTATTGTTGGAGAAGATGAGGGAGTGTTGGTGATAATGTTATTGTTGGAGAAGATGAGGAAGTGTTGGTGAGATAGTGTTGGTGAAAATGTTATTGTTGGAGAAGATGAGGGAGTGTTGGTGAGATAGTGTTGGTGATAGTGTTATTGTTGGAGAAGATGAGGGAGTGTTGGTGAGATAGTGTTGGTGATAGTGCTATTGTTGGAGAAGATGAGGGAGTGTTGGTGAGACAGTGTTGGTGATAATGTTATTGTTGGAGAAGATGAGGGAGTGTTGGTGAGATAGTGTTGGTGATAATGTTATTGTTGGAGAACATGAGGGAGTGTTGGTGAGATAGTGTTGGTGATAATGTTATTGTTGGAGAAGATGAGGGAGTGTTGGTGAGATAGTGTTGGTGATAATGTTATTGTTGGAGAAGATGAGGGAGTGTTGGTGAGATAGTGTTGGTGATAATGTTATTGTTGGAGAAGATGAGGGAGTGTTGGTGAGATAGTGTTGGTGATAGTGCTATTGTTGGAGAACATCAGGGAGTGTTGGTGAGATAGTGTTGGTGATAGTGCTATTGTTGGAGAACATGAGGGAGTGTTGGTGAGATAGTGTTGGTGATAATGTTATTGTTGGAGAACATGAGGGAGTGTTGGTGAGATAGTGTTGGTGATAGTGCTATTGTTGGAGAACATGAGGGAGTGTTGGTGAGATAGTGTTGGTGATAGTGCTATTGTTGGAGAAGATGAGGGAGTGTTGATGAGATAGTGTTGGTGATAGTGCTATTGTTGGAGAAGATGAGGGAGTGTTGGTGATAATGTTATTGTTGGAGAAGATGAGGAAGTGTTGGTGAGATAGTGTTGGTGATAATGTTATTGTTGGAGAAGATGAGGGAGTGTTGGTGAGATAGTGTTGGTGATAGTGTTATTGTTGGAGAACATGAGGGAGTGTTGGTGATAGTGCTATTGTTGGAGAACATGAGGGAGTGTTGGTGATAATGTTATTGTTGGAGAAGATGAGGGAGTGTTGGTGAGATAGTGTTGGTGATAGTGCTATTGTTGGAGAACATGAGGGAGTGTTGGTGAGACAGTGTTGGTGATAATGTTATTGTTGGAGAAGATGAGGGAGTGTTGGTGAGATAGTGTTGGTGATAGTGCTATTGTTGGAGAACATGAGGGAGTGTTGGTGATAATGTTATAGTTGGAGAACATGAGGGAGTGTTGGTGAGATAGTGTTGGTGATAGTGCTATTGTTGGAGAACATGAGGGAGTGTTGGTGAGATAGTGTTGGTGATAATGTTATTGTTGGAGAAGATGAGGGAGTGTTGGTGAGATAGTGTTGGTGATAATGTTATTGTTGGAGAACATGAGGGAGTGTTGGTGATAATGTTATTCTTGGAGAAGATGAGGGAGTGTTGGTGAGATAGTGTTGGTGATAATGTTATTGTTGGAGAACATGAGGGAGTGTTGGTGAGATAGTGTTGGTGATAATGTTATTGTTGGAGAACATGAGGGAGTGTTGGTGATAATGCTATTTCTGTATTTATATTTCTACTTTCTCTGATACACATCAAAAACAAATTCTATGATTTTAGATAAAAAATAATTATATTAACTATATCCAAGTGTTTCATGAGATATTTGAATCAAAATAACATTCCTTAAACATTTGCTATCAGTCAAATATTACATATAAACATTTACCATCAATCAAATATTACATATAAATATATATTACATATATACATAAATTGCAAAGCACAATAGCATGGATAACTTCATCAATCTGGTGTGTGGTGAAGGTGGCTACACAGAGAGGAGGCGGCTACCTCTTACCCTCTCACTCTCAGGGGCACCTAAGACATCTAGCTGCACCTCAGGTGGCACCCCGGCCACCTGAGGTGCTACCACCACCCCAGTGCCATAAGTAACGTAAACTGTAACCCACAACAGTGCCAGCACTAAGTTTCAGGCAACACACACACACACACACACACACACACACACACACACACACACACACACACACACACACACACGGGGACCAAAGAGCCAAAGCTCAACCCCCCGCAAGCACAATTAGGTGAGTATACACACACACACACACACACAGCAGCGTGCTGGCCGAGCGGACAGCACGCAGGACACGTGATCCTGTGGTCCCGGGTTCGATCCCGGGCGCCGGCGAGAAACGATGGCCAGAGTTTCTTTCACCCTATGCCCCTGTTACCTAGGAGTAAATAGGTACCTGGGTGTTAGTCAGCTGTCACGGGCTGCTTCCTGGGATGTGTGTGTGTGTGTGTGTGTGTGTGTGTGTGTGTGTGTGTGTGTGTGTGTGTGTGTGTGTGTGTGTTGTATGGAAAAAAGTAGTGGTAGAAACAGTTGATTGACAATTGAGAGGCGGGCCGAAAGAGCAGAGCTTAACCCCCGTAGAGAGAGAGAGAGAGAGAGTGAGAGAGAGAGAGAGAGAGACAGAGAGAGAGAGAGAGAGACAGAGAGAGAGAGAGAGAGAGAGAGAGAGAGAGAGAGAGAGAGAGAGAGAGAGAGAGAGAGAGAGAGAGAGAGAGAGAGAGAGAGAGAGAGAGAGAGAGAGAGAGAGAGAGAGAGAGAGAGAGAGAGAGAGAGAGAGAGAGAGAGAGAGAGAGAGAGAGAGAGAGAGAGAGAGAGAGAGAGAGAGAGAGAGAGAGAGAGAGAGAGAGAGAGAGAGAGAGAGAGAGAGAGAGAAGAGAGAGAGAGAGAGAGAGAGAGAGAGAGAGAGAGAGAGAGAGAGAGAGAGAGAGAGAGAGAGAGAGAGAGAGAGAGAGAGAGAGACATGGGCTGACCGCATATTCCTTGACTGTCAGAAAGCATTTGATACGGTCCCGCATATTCGAATTATTAATCTGTTATCCCCAATTAATCTATAACTAGACACTCAAGTTTCCCGGAGCTCTCAGCGTTGATTAGTCTGGCTAATTTGAGCCAGCTGCTGCTCACTTAACCGGCCGACTCAGTACCTTAACTGTTATCTTCGTCCGCTAGATCGAATTACTTAATTATGATTCAGTGGTAATACGATATTCTTGTACAAACTGGATTGGCTCCTTGATGACTAACTAGGTGATTACAGGTACCATTGACTGGAACCCAGAGGCTGACTGCAGGTCCCAGTGGCTGACTGCAGGTCCCAGTGGCTGACTGCAGGTCCCAGTGGCTGACTGCAGGTCCCAGTGGCTGACTGCAGGTCCCAGTGGCTGACTGCAGGTCCCAGTGGCTGACTGCAGGTCCCAGTGGCTGACTGCACGTCCCAGTGGCTGACTGCAGGTCCCAGTGGCTGACTGCCGGTCCCAGTGGCTGACTGCAGGTCCCAGGTGGCTGACTGCAGGTCCCAGGTGGCTGACTGCAGGTCCCAGTGGCTGATTGCAGGTCCCAGTGGCTGACTGCAGGTCCCAGTGGCTGACTGCAGGTCCCAGTGGCTGACTGCAGGCCCCAGTGGCTGACTGCAGGTCCCAGTGGCTGACTGCAGGTCCCAGAGGCTGACTGCAGGTCTCAGAGGCTGACTGCAGGTCCCAGGTGGCTGACTGCAGGTCCCAGTGGCTGACTGCAGGTCCCAGGGGCTAACTGCAGGTCCCAGTGGCAAACTGCAGGTCCCAGTGGCTGACTGCAGGTCCCAGTGGCTGACTGCAGGTCCCAGTGGCTGACTGCAGGTCCCAGTGGCTGACTACAGGTCCCAGTGGCTGACTGACTCCTGTTCTTTGAACGTACACATATATACAATACAATCTTATAAAATGGAGCAAAGTGTGTTTGACCATCTTGGAGACATCTTTAAACACTCACACATCCCGGCTTAGTCACATATAACAACGTTGATACCGAACACACACTACACCAACCATTAAAACCATGTGTGTAGTCACATATACAAGATATCTTTTCCCGCTTATCAAATTTTCACTCGGCGCCAGACGACGTTGTGGCAATGTTTCATTCACGTTGACAACAATTGTCACATTACCTTCAAGAAATGAAATTTAAGTGACTTTTTTATTTGAGTTGTAAACTAGGAAGGCGGTGGTGTTCCCAAGGGCCCATAATCGGGGTCGGAGTTAGCTCAGCTCGCCACACGAACTTTGGCAGAAATCCTCAACACTGCATTTAAGTTCCCTTCGAAATTCCTTGCATAATAGACGGGTGGATCCTTCTACCACAGCTCCTTAAACTTGAGAGGATCAGTTGTCTCCGCCCTCGGAGCGGCGGTATATATATATCTCTGGACCTTCTCAACACTCCAGACACCCAATAATGTCCCGTTCTTAAATGCCAGTTTATTGAAACCTGAATATTCTTTATTTACTTTAATTAGGAGTCAAAAGGTAAAAGCAAGACCAAGCGGCTCCACACCCTCATCCTATTATCTGGTGAATTTGACCTGATCAAATGAACAAATCAACAAGGGCCGTGACGAGGATTCGAACCTGCGTCCGGGAGCATCCCAGACACTGCCTTAATACTGTTAATACTGTATCCTTAATACACTGTTCTCGGATGCTCCCGGACGCAGGTTCGAATCCTCGTCACGGCCCTTGTTGATTTGTTCATTTGATGCATCACGTTAGTGTGATTTCTGTGTGTACTGATCTGATCAAATTCACTATTTGAAGGCAACCAACTTCAACCTGTAATGGAGTGCACTCCCCCCCTGCCCCATGGGAGGGGGGGTCATGGGTAGGTCCCCCCTGTGGGACCGCTATGTACAAAGAATAGAAGAACAACGTCAACTGAAGGCCTGTTGTCCCAGCTGGGAAGCTCCCGTTTATACCACAACAAGATTAACCAACAGATAGATGGAACAAGCAGCGATTTTGCATACATCTGGGACCAG